TTTTATGTTATGATGACATTGAGAATGTGGATAAAAGCCTTGCTAGTGAGCCTCCATCAATTTATCAATCAATCCAAGTCCATTAGAACTGTGAAAACAATAATCCACCATTCACCATTCAGCAACAACAGGCGCAATCAATCCTGACAACCCCAATCACAGAAGCTTAACCAAACCAACACAACTCTCCCAAACAAGAAAAATTTGGTATCTAACCAAGCCTATGCATATGTTTTAATCAACTCATTCATCTTCGCAGCTTGGCTCTCAACTTACCTGATGGTGAAATTAATGATATTACTGCAGTGGTAAAGCTGAATAAAAAAATAAAACCTTGGTTTGGGTGAGTTGGTGGCGGGTGGATATCCCAAACACCCACCCAAAAACACACACACATACTAGAGGTTGGAATTCCAACCAAATGTCCTCTGCAAGCCAATCCTCTATTTTTCCTCCTTGGAAGATGATCCACTCCTGCTACCATACTTCCCCAAGCCTCTCTTCAAATCTGTCAAGGCTACTATGTTGAGTTTTTGCCTTTGAGTTTTCTTAAATGACAGAGAGGAAACCCCTCTGCCCATAGCCGGCATCTTCTCACCATAAAGTAAAGCTGTACAGTTTGATGACAAGGCAGTCTTACAGCCATCAGCACAACAGTCAATACAGAATCACAACATGCTTCACATAATCAAACTTATTTTCTCCACTTGGCTATTATTCAAAGCACTGTGATTGCAACATAGACACGGGCTTTTTTTTATCTTAGTGGAGGATTCTCTATGCTTTCAATATGAAATCATGCCAAGTTACAAAATATTTTTAGTTGAATTGCAGATGATATCAACTGAACTTAGGACCAAGTTACCAAAAAACAGGCTAAAATTTTTCACAACTTACAACCAACACACAACAGGTATCAGCTCAGTATATGACCTAGTTAAGAGAAAGAACTTGCATGTGAGTGCCATGGAAACAGCCCTGGTGTGACTGGTGAGATTGAATCTACATTCTGTTCCTCAACTCATATCACTAACATTTTAATTCTTCAGTCTACACACCCTATATCTCTCATCTTATCTCCTCAAGTCTTCAGCCCAATCATTCTGCAAATCTTTTCTATGACAAATATTGGTTATTTCTATTTTCTTTCTTCATTCTTTTTTTTTTCTTATCTGATTTTTTCTCTTCAGTGTGTTGGCTTTTTTTAGAGTAATAAAATCAAATCAATCTCAAATTCTTTATAGCCTAGAGAAAATCAGCCAAGAGCAAATGACTTTTTTCATTGCTGTTAGCTGATTTCCACTAATGCTACCAGAGCTAAGCAAAAAGCAAGGCCAGATCACTAAACTGCTATCTAGATTTTGTTTCTCTGATAGATAGCACTGTAGTGCATGGTGACGTAGAATAGCGGCTCTTCAGAGCTGCCAATGCTACAGCGGTGGCAGCCCAATATTTCAACCACTACACTATGCTACTTGAGCCAAATATCATAACAGCCCAATGCTATCTGTACTGAAATTCAAGTTCAGATCTAATTAACAGCACTCACCCATTGATTTACTTGCTTTCTCTTTCTTCTTCTTGGCCACTTATTCATTGTCACTTTAAATTTCATTCCTATTTCTGTAATCATCTTTGGGTTTAATTGGAAGTATCCATCCCACCTTGCCAAAAGTGAGGCAAATACAAGGCAGGTGAGATGAGGATAATTCCATGAACAAATCAGGCTCATCACTCAGTAGAAAGTGATTCCACTCCCTGATAAGCAAAAAAAGTGGCTCATTTTTATCATTGTGGAGTACCAAAAAAAATTAAAAAAATGGAATCCTGGGATTTCAACCCCTCCCCCACTTTTTGCATGGTGATCTGAGTAATAAGAAGGTACATAAAATTGCTTGCTAATTTACATTATCTTTTCTTTTTACTATTTCACTTTTGATGAAAAACAAGAAAATTTACATAATTGTACGGTTAGTTTGGTGTGGTACCTCTGTGTTTGTCTTTTTCTACGTGATTATATACGCGGCGCGAGCTTGGCTACCATCGAATATTACTGGCACTGTAGCTCAGTTGGTAGAGCACATGCTTAACACTGGATAGTTTCAGATCGCATGTTGTCGTCGGTTCGAGCCCGGCCAGAGTCACGGAAAAATGGTTCTCCTTTTTTCCCGACCTTTCCGATTTCTTTTTATATATACGTGGGGTGGGAGAAGGAGAAGGCGCAGACAAGGCAGTAAGACCAATGGAGAGAAGAACAAAGAATAGAGATGTTTGCTTTGGCAGCCACAGGGTAGAGCAGTCTAGGGGAAGGCGAGGAGAGCTAGAGAGCAGCGGGGATAAAACTGCCCGTGAAGCTGATGAGAGAAGCCTTGAGTGCGGGCAGAAGTGCATATGACCACATTCTCGCGTCCGAAGGACTCTCTTTCATAAAAGCAAGCGGCAGATCACCATGTCTGCCGATTTCAGGAAATGTACAAAGCAGTGCTGCTGGAAATGACGTTGTGATAATGCGAGGATGAAGGCCCCAGAGACCATCAAGATGATAGTGGATGTAGTATTCAAGGCATCGCGTGCCACTCAACAACGAATACAAACCGATGCGAGGAGGAGGGAGAATGAAGATGGGGGCAGACTGTATAATCCAGTGCAAAACGTTTGCTTCTCATTTCAATATAGTCTAGAAAGAAACACAAGATGATAACGAGGGATTAAGAGGCTAAGGAAGTTCGACGTCATCCAACAGTCTATTGGAGTAAAGTGGTCTCAACGATAATACCCGTCACTTGATAGGGGTCGATGTTTGAAGCGGGCTGTCCAGAGGCACAAAAAAAAGGAGGGGGAGCAAGAAACTCAGTAAGGGTGAAAGGAAGAGGAGAATTGGGAAGGGACATACACGACGGTCCTCCAAGTATCCCTCGCCGGTAGCTTCGACGTGTCTCGGGATACGGATTGAGGCACCTCTGTGAGCGACACCGGAGCTGAAGTTTCCGATGTGACCGGTCTCGTGGCGACCAGTAAGTCTTTGGTCGTTGCTGATGTAAGGAGAGAAAATGACTGGTCAGCACAGAAGAAAACAGGAACTTATGTAGGGCCCAACATACTCAGCACCGTAGACGGCAATGTGCTCATTGTGACGTTTGCCGAGCTTCTCGATGTATTCGTGGATCGCTTTGATCCCGCCTGGTTGACGGGTGGCCACGGTGGAGTAGTTGGTATGGGCGCCAGCGCCATTCCAGTCGCCGGACAACGGTTTAGGATGGAAGGAGACCTTGATTCCCCAGTCTTCGGTGACTCGGTAAAGGAGGACTAGAAAAACAAAGAATAATGGTCATCATGCAACCCAGCGGAAGGGAATGAGAGAGGAGGGGGGTTATCTGACTTACAACGGGCAATGGTCAAATGATCTCCCATGTCGATTCCCTCACAAGGGCCGACTTGGAACTCCCACTGAGAGGGCATGACCTCGGCATTGACACCAGAGATGGTCACGCCGGCGTACAGACAACATCTGTAATGAGCCTCGACGATGTCTCGGGCAAACACCTTGCCGGTTCCTTGAGAAATAATTGGGGGTTGGCGGGTGGGTAAGCTGTTGAGATCAAGTCAAGCATATGATCGAATGTTGAGCTTACCGACACCGCAGTAGTATGGGCCTTGGGGACCGGGGAAGCCACCCTTGGGCCAGCCGTAAGGGGAGACCCCATCGGCATCAAACAGGGTGTACTCCTGCTCGATCCCGAACCAAGGCTTGTGCTGAGCGGCGGCATCCATAGACTTCTTGCACGAGTAACTAAGATGATCGAATCAGGTTAGCCTGGCTGGAAAGCCAAATGGATGGGGATGGTTATATAAGGAGATTACTAACCGGAAGTTAGTCTTGTTAGGGGTGCCGTCCGAGTTGTAGCATTCGGCCAGCACCAGGACGTTCTTGCCACGACGGAATGGGTCTTTGAATACGGCTGCTGGTCGGAGGAAGACGTCTGAGTCATGACCGGAGGCCTGGTATATATAGAGAGAAGGATACATGTATCGGTCAGGGAGCGATGGGCGATTGAGGAAGGAGATTGCAAATCCGTACATACCTGAGCAGTAGACGACCCGTCGAAGTTCCACTCCTTGCAATCGGCCACGGTCACTTGGCCAGAAGCTGGCAGGTCCATGGTCTGGAATGGACCAATGTCGATCAAAGAGCAAGAGTCAGCGAGAATGTGGCACTCAATCAAAGATGGGAGAGTAGAGGGGGGACGAACGGTGGTCTTGCATCGCAAGCCGCCGCTCCCGTCGATCCAGACATACTCAGCCTGAATCAAGTTGTCAGGCTGGGGGAGGTCCATGTACTTAGCCAGATGGTTGGGAGCCGAGGTGGTAGGACAGACAGACATTGTTGGATGTGAATGGAAGAAGCTTGGTGGGGAGGGATACGAGAATTGGTACTAAATAGTAGGAAGGGTGTGTGGACTGGGGTGTGCTTGAGTGTGAGGTTGATTGCGATAAGAAGTATTTCGGCTCTTTCGGGAAGGAAGAGGAAGAAATATTGCAGCCCCCGACTCGCTGGCAGCCTATATGCATACAGCATCACCTCCAGAACGCGCGCCGATTCCGAGCGTTGCCATTCATTCGGCTGTGTAATCCGACAGCCATGTGCGCACAAATGTACATAAATATTTTACAACAAAATGAAACCATTCCACCTTCCTCCCCACAAATGCCAAGATGCGAAACGAGATCCCTTTTTCCATCCAACAATCCGGTGATGTCATGGCCGTATAGCCTGATCAACCAGTGCAAGTGATATCCACATTAGGGCCCACCGCTCCCCAACAGGGGCATCACTACTCGTGGGTGCAATTGAAAGCCTGTCTAGAAAATTCATCATCATCACCATATATTTAAGACCGTCCGCATGCGCTCGGTTAACTCTCCGGGTTGGGGAACTTTAACCCGGCTTAACCCAAAAACCGCACACATCCATCCCGGGTTAAGCCGTGCGCTCAAGTTCAGAAAAGCTAAAAGAAATTGGCTAAGAAGTGTCGCTACATTTAGCGACGCTTAAGCTGAGGTTAGGGACACCTCCCCTGCGTCTGGGGAGGTTGGAAGTGTCCACCACTGCAAAAAAAAAACTTGCTCAACTGCCTGCAGTTGACATGCAGCATGCTCCAGCCAAGCTACCATCCAAACTCCACAAGTTTGCATATTTAGATGTTTTGGCACAGTCACTGTGCAGACTGCACAGTGACTGTGCATCAAAGCTTAGTTGAATCACTTTTGGAGAATGGTTGGAGTAAAAACAGAAGCTTCCTGTGAGTTTCTGCATGTCTACTGCAGGCAGTTGAGCAATTTTTTTTTGCAGTGAAAGATACTGTGGCTTGAATTCACCCAATATTCTTTATATTATCCATAGAGTATAATGGCAAAAAATTTAACTTTTGTAGAAATCAGGGCTGTTTCCATGGCACTTCCATGCAAGTTCTTTCACATCACGTTCTTGAATAAACTGTTGGTAAATTCTTGGATGTTGGTCTGAAGTACATTAAAAGTCTGGTTGAACTCAGGATGAAGTTGTTTGTAACTTGCGTTGATGTCAAGCTCAATAATCAACCTGATTTATTTCCCAAGTCCAGCTGTTATCATCCTTCCAGTATGAATAAGCCAGATCTTTATTTCACCTGCTTAACAAATCTTACATATCTTTTGCTCATCCAATTGTCCTTGAAATTATATTTGAATTCCAAGAGATTGTGAAGGACTAATATAAGGTAAATGATGTGATTCATTCTCAAGGACTCATTTTTTTGTGGTGAAATGTTGATAATTCATATCAGCTATGGTCACTGTTTGATGGCCTTGATATTCTTTTTTGATGTTATGATTGAAATGAGAATATGGATAAAAGCCTTGCTAGTGAGCCTCCATAAATTTCTCAATACAAGTCCATTATAACTGTGAAAAAAATCATCCACAAGAAACCATTCAACATCAACAGGCTCAATTCCTCCCAATAACCCCAATCATGAAAGCTTGACAAAACCATACAACTCTCCCAAAAAATGAAAATTTGGTAGCCAACCAAACCTTTGCATATGTTTTAATTGCCTGATTCATCTCTGAAACTTGGCTCTAAGATGAACTGACATTTCAATTCATGATATTAATGCAGTGGGAAAGCTGAAAAAAAAGCAAAAACCTTGGTTTGGGTCAGTTGGTGGGTGGATCTCTCAAACACCCACCCACAAAAAGAAACACTAGAGCTTGGAAGGCCAACCAAATATCCTCTGCAAGCTAATCCTCCCTATTTACTCCTTGGAAGATGAGCCCTCTTTCTGACACAATCCCCCAATCCTGTCTTCAAATCTTCCAAGGCTACTGTGTTGAGTTTTTGCCTTTGTGTTTTGTTAAATGACATAAATGAAACCCCTCTGCCTTCAGCTGGCATCTGGTCAACATAATTTACTGATGTATATTATGGTGACATGGTAGACTTACAGTCCTCAGCACAACAGTCAGTACAGAAGCACAACATGTTTTAAATAATCAAACTTTTTTTTCCACTTGGCTATTCCTCAAAGCACTTTGATTACATTATAGCCAAGGGATTTTTTTTATCTTGGTGGAAGTTTTGATATTCTTTCAACATGACATCAAGCCAAGTTTCAACCAAGTTACAAAATATTATTAGTTGAATTGCAGAGGATATCACCTGAAATTGGGACCAATTTCACCAAGAATCAGGCTAAAATTGTGCACAACTTACAAGTAAAACACAAAAGGTATCAGCTCAGTATATGAACAAGTTAAGAGAAATCACTTTCATGCAACTTCCATGAGAACAGCCTTGATGATAACTTCATCCTAATACACCCAGGATGTATTCTTCTCTTATACAAATCGGACATGTTTGATTGTTGGGGATTAAACAGAATTGGTTCTTATAGTAAACCAAATTGATAAAATGTTTTTCTTCAAAGAAAGATTGAATCAGGAACACATAAGATAAATTGAGAGCAAACAGAATTTTGGGGGATCATCCGGTTTTACAAATAATGTGAAAATACATTTCTCTTGGTACCTAGATGTTGAGTAAGCAACCAAAATCTTGCATGCCAGAAATATCACTGTAATTGAATGAATTCTGAGGCCATTTTGA